CCTTGGAGGAAGATGCGCAGGAAGCTCTGGCAGCTTTGGAGGACGCCCGTCGCACTCTGAAAGATGCTCGGGAAAAGCAAGCTCAGATGCGAAGGAGCCGGAATTTCTTCCCTAGTCGTGCAGGAGGAGGAAACCCTCGAGGCGACAGGCCACCGATCAAGTGTTTCCGGTGTGGAGGGAACCACATGAGGAAAGACTGCCCCCAGAACAACAAGCCCGCGCAAGGCGAGCAGCGAGTTCACTTCGTCTTCTCAGCGAGTAACATGGAAGCAACTGCGGAGCCAGAGAATGGCTCGGAGACCACGAATGTGGAGGACACCAGCTTACTGGCTCTACACCAGGTGGTACAGTCCGGAAACGCCATTATTGATGGCGGTGCCACCAGTAGCCTGGGATCCGAAGAGGCTGTGCAACAGATCGCGGCCCTCAACTGGGAAGCCACGGGACAGGACAACATCGAGATCGTGCCGGAGGAGCAACCTTCCTTCCGGTTTGGGAACAATGCTCAGCACAAGTGTATGTCCACAGCCTTAGTGAAGCTTCCGAGTCGCCAGGTGGACAGCTCCATGAAGGTGCACGTCCACGACATCCCAGGACAGCCAGTGTTGCTAAGTGTGAAAAGCTTGAGAACCTTAGGCGCAGTGATAGATTTTTCTATGAATCAGGCAATCTTCAAAAGCCTGAACCCCGCAGCTGTGGTGACCTTGCAGACAACGGAGAGCGGTCACCAGCTTTTCCCGCTCACTCGTGATGTGCTTGAAGGGGCTACTCCGCTCAGACGACCGTTTCAGTCCTTCCAGTTGAATGATCAAGCAGCACATCATGAGAGACTTCCCGAACAGGGACAGCTCCTTCTGGTGAACGACGGCGCAAAGGGTCACCAGGAGGGTTTTAAAAAGAGTAGTGCGCCAGAGAGTGTGTACAGGGATGAGTCACTTTACCAAGATAAGTCCAACATGTGTAGTAATCGTGAATGTGAGGAGCAAGATCGTATCCAATCTCAACAGTCCGAGGCCTGTCTGAGTGCCATTGAGGACCCAAGGCCCACAATAGGATGTAGTGCGAGAATAGAGGCCCAAGCCAAGGCCCTCATGATGTCCAAAGCCCCCCTTACCAAGCTGAAAGCCTTCCTTCAGGACATCCCATGGGACCTCTTAGATAGGAATCACAAGGAAAGGAGCTCCATCAGCATGGACCCCATGAACGCCAGCACCATGCCTCCCGCTTATGTGGTGTTCGGAATGTTTGTTCATGGCGGCGTGGTTGGGGTGACTTGAGTTTCAAAGAAACATCCTTGGCTTCTGAGGGTTCTTAGCGAGGTGGTGAGACAGGAGACTTAATTCAGGTGCTCGAATTACTTCCATAGGGATTTCATGCAATTGCAAGGCGAGGGCTCACAGGGATCAATACAACCTGGCTTCGAGTGACAACTGGGTCACTCCGCTTGTCCAGCCTAGTAGGCGTGGAGAGGTTTGGGTTGAGGGAGTTGAGACTTCGAAGGAGGCGATTTGGAGGCAGTGTGGGGATAAGGAGGTTCAGGGATACAAAGTTGGTCTGGATAGGACGAAGCAACTGAACCCCCGGAAATGGCATGAAACCCTCCCATGGACCGGAGATCGAATGATCATGATTGGATATACCCTGAATGCCTACCAAAAACTCCCAAAGGACCAGATCCAATGGCTTCGGAAGCATGGTGTGTGTTTCCCCTGGAAAGTGAGACAGTCACAAATCACCCCTAACCATAGCCCACAACAGTGCCTCAAGTTGGAACCCCTTTCCCGCCGCGGCCTCACTTCGCGAAGATCATGCCGAGCAACTCCATGACCAAGGCAGAGATGCAGCAGAAGCTGGCATCTCTCCAGAAGATTGCGCCTCCAGGTTGGACCAAGGTGCAGCTGTCGGCCAGACTGGCGGAGTTGAGCCAGGAAATGGAGACAGCGCTCACGGAGCGCGAAGCAGCGAAAATGATCAATCGCTGCAAGACCAAGCTAGCAGCTAGCACTCCAGGAGATGATGACCGAGAACGGCCTGGAATTCACGAGAGGACAGACCGTGGACCAGCTCCGAGGGGTGATGTTGAAGTACCTCATGGAGAACAAGGTGCCCGCGAGTGCGTCGAACTTCATGGGGTTCGGCAAACACAGCAGCCTCACCTACGGACAAGTGGCGGTCAACTACACCAGCTACACCAACTGGTGTGTGGAGACGGCGGCATCGGAGAGCGAGTGCCACTGGAGACTCCGACGCTATGCCGTGTGGGCACAGGGACTCAGCAAGACCGCGAAGGACGAGCTTGCGAGGCTGCCGGAGAACGACTTGGAGGGTGCGATGACGGCATGGCGCACCACCAGACGAGCGGCTCCGAAGGCGTACCATCCACGCCCTGCGCCGAGTGCCTCCTCCAGCGAGCTGACCGAGAACAAGTGGGTGAGCTGATGTCCGTGCAGCAGAGCGACAGTCCGGATCAAGAGATGATTCCAGCGGGGTCAACAAGTTCTACATCGAGGCTGGCAGAGATGGAGGAGGAGATTCGCCAGCTGAAGGAGATGGTAAAGAAGAACATGGCGGCGGACAACGACTCAACTCGGAAGCAGGCCAAGTCGGCGGAGAAGTAGATCCAGACAGCGAGCCGGGCACGAGTGATCCCGCAGAGGCTGACGAGGAGGACATCGTTCCTGGTCTCAGCTGTCCCCTCTCCTTCCGAGTAGCTAAGGGGATCAGTTCGGAGTACGAGGATGCCATGCTTCACCATGTCAGGACCTTAGGTTCTAGTGGGGTCAAATTGGTTGAGGTTGGCGGTGCTTCGGATAGTATGCTGGCAAAGGAATGCGAGAAGATCCTTGGAGAGGGGTCAGTGGTTCGGCTTTCTCAATGGAACGGTGGAGACCTAGGAACTAAAGAGGGCCAAGAGTATGTCCTCCGGACAATTCAGGAGGTGAAGCCGAGGTGTGTTTGGTTTAGTCCTGAGTGCAGTGCCTATTCCCCCATGCAGAGGTTCAACCGGAAAAGCCCTCAACAAGTAGCTAGGCTCCAGGCCAAACGAGAAGCTGCCGACAGAGAGTATGAAGGAGTCTCACGAGTCCTCCGGGCTGTGGCCAGTCAAGGGATTACATGCGTGCTTGCACTGGTGGACCAGTGTGAGGCATGGAATCAGCCGTGGATGTCTCTGTTGCGACAGGAGGTTGAGATGTACAGAGGAAGTTGTGCAGGTTGCCAGGTGAACTTGAGGGATTTTCAGGCTTGTTTGATGTGCCAAAGTTGGGGACTGCTTAGCACGGATGGGGCCTTGGTTCAAAACATGTCCTTGACGTGTGATCAGCGTCATTCTCGTAGCAGAGGCAAGGTTCCGGAAAGTCTTAAGATGCAGGGTTTTACCAGGGATTTCAGTAGAAGGGTGGCCAGGTATCTGGAAAGGCTTGAGGACTGGTTTAGCGTTGCAAGGGACATGCAAGGTGCAGGTCAAGAATGTTTGGCAGCAGAAGAAGCCCCAGGTTCCGGTTCCCCAGGCACGGATCCACAGAGCATACAGGACATCCCCGCGGAGATCCGCCGGAAGATTTTCCAGAATCTCCGTCGGATTCACGCTGCCACGGGTCATTGTAGCAATCAGTACCTTAAGGCTAGTCTGAAGCGTAGGGGTGCTGATAAAGAGGTGATGCGTTGCGTGGAACATTTTTCGTGTGATGTCTGTAAGGAACGTCGACGAATGGATCCTAGGAGTCCGTCCACTCTCGTCGAGATCGTCCCTAAATGGCATACCTTACAGTGCGATGCCTTTGCATGGAACCACACTGAGAGCGGAGAGAAGTGGCAGTGCATGTTAGGGATAGATGAGGGAAGCAGACTTAGAGTGGGTAAGGTTCTGTTCCAACATGCGAGCCGGACTCCAAGCACCCAGGACTTTGTTGACTTCTTTGAAGGACACTGGCTGCCTAGCTTCGGAAAGCCTCAAGTACTGCGCGTAGACCCAGCAGGATGTTTCAGAAGTAAACTACTTGATGAGTATTTGGCTGACAGGCAAATCGAGGTTCACCACATTCCAGCTGAGGCTCATTGGCAGATTTCGGTTGTGGAACGCGGAATCCAAAGCCTTAAGACGATGATGACCGCCTTGGTGTCCGAGCAACCCACCATGAGCGCCACCGAGGCTTTTGCGCGTGCAGTATGGGCAAGTAAAACTAGAGACCAGTACCATGGCTACAGTCCTCTCCAACATACATTTGGTCGGTCGCCTGATGAGTTAGGGCACTTAGGAGAAAGCAAGCTGAGGGATATCCCTATCCTTACGGAGAGTGGAGTGTCTGCTGAGTTTGGGGTTGATGTGAAGGCAATGTTTACTGCTGAGCAAGCGTTTCTGGAAGAGCAGGCTCGGGAGCGACTTAGGAGGGCTGAGCTGTCAGGGGCCCGTACAATGAAGCACTTCTGTCCAGGTGATCTTGTGTATGCATGGCGACGGATGACGCCCAGGGCTGATGGCAACAAGCACTTTAAAGGAGGTCGGTTTGTAGGACCTTACAGAGTGCTTGGTACGGAAACACGAGTAGAGACGGAAGGGGAGCTTCGAGCCGGGCATGTGGTTTGGCTATACAGAGGAGGTCAGCTGGTGAAAGCTGCTCCACAACAGCTCAGGCCCGCGACCGCGCGAGAGGAGTCGTGGAATGAACTATACAACCAAGGAGCTATACCATGGACAGTCTCAGACACCTTGAAGACGAACCCTCCACATCAATATGAGGACATTTCCAAGGACAGTGATCACATGCCTGTGTCTGTTGAGGACATGCAAGACGCTGAAGAGCGAGAGGAGAGAGAGAGAGAGAGAGAGAGAGAGAGACCCCAGAGACCGGACTCCCCGGAGGGTGGTTGGAAAACAGGCGCCTAGAAGCGGGGGGGAACACGGCCACACAGAAGGTGAAGATGTCCGAAGACCCAGAAGTAGGAGTCCTCCCCAGCGGGCTTCCGCCAGTGCCGGAGGAAGAAGGCCCAGGACACAGGATATGGCAGAGTTCATCGAGGAGTGTGGGTTGGCTATGAGTGAGGATGACAATGCTTACTGGAAGGAAGAGGGGGCTGCGGTTGCGATGTCAGTGGAGCTGCCTCACATTAAGACGAGGAAGGGAAAGGAGTGGACACGTGATCTGGGATGCTTCTTCACGAAGCAGCTTAGAAGACAAGCAGTGGAAATCTCTGAACGCCGTCTGTCGGATAAAGAAAAAGAAGGGTTCCGACAAGCAAAACAGAAGGAGGTGAAGAACTTTATAGTCGCTAAAGCGTTCCAAGTCCTTCCTGAAAGCATGAAGCCAAGTAGGAGTCAAATTCTGAAGATGAGGTGGATTCTTACTTGGAAGCTGGATGAAAGCCCCGAAGGTGAACCCCTGAAGCGTGATGCCCAAGGTAATGCCCTGAAGCCAAAAGCCAGAGCCGTGGTTTTAGGCTACATGGACCCTCTGTATGAGCATAGACCTACGAGCAGTCCCACCATGAATCGTACCACGAGACAACTGTTCTTGCAAAGCTGTGCTAACAAGGGTTTTTCAGTGGAAAAGGGCGATATTAGTGGAGCATTTCTTCAAGGAGATGAGTTTGGTCCGGATCGGGTGATGGCGTGTGAGCCTTTACCAGAAACATGCGAAGCGTTGGGCGTGCCAGCGCACAGCACCATGATGCTTACCAAGGCAGCGTATGGGCTTGTGGAGGCCCCAATCCAGTGGTTCCTGACGATATCCAGGTTCCTGGAAAGCATTGGGGGAGAGCAGCAGCTCTCCGACCCATGCTGCTGGTCGTTCTTCAAGGCCGAGAAGGACTCCCAAGGCCGCAGGATATGCATTGGACATGTATGTGGACATGTAGATGACTTTCTGTTTGGGGGATTGGATTCATGCCTAGAGTGGAAGGCCATCAAGGAACGAATTCAGGCGAGATTCAAATGGGGACAATGGGAAGCACGGAAGTTTACGCAGTGTGGGGTGCTGATCGAACAGGATGAAAACGGGTTTTCGTTAAGCTAACCAGACTACTTGGACGCCGTGAACGAGATCCACCTCAGCAGAGCTCGGTGGAATGAAATGGAGGCTCCAATCAACGCAGCGGAACTCCATCAGCTAAGGAGTGTTCTCGGAGCACTTTCCTGGCATGCGACTCAGGTGGCACCTCAGTGGAGTGCCCCAGTGAGCTTATTGCTCACAAAGATACACCAAGGAACCGTGAGCGACATCGTGGAAGCCAACAAGCTTTTGAGGAAGGCTAAGTTGAGTCAACATCAGAAGCTTCTGATCCACAAACAAGGCCCAGGAACGCCTCTCATAGCCGCTTGGGCAGATGCTGCTAACTCCAACAGGGAGGATGGTGGATCCACTAAGGGAATTCTCGTGGGATGGACCACGGAGACTCTATTACAAGGCAGCTTGGTGAGCATTAGTCCAATATTTTGGCAGTCAGCAAAGATCCAAAGGGCATGTCGCAGCTCGGCCGCAGCAGAGACACATGCCGCAGCAGACGCTGAGGATGAACTCTATGCAATACGTCTTCAAGCAGGAGAGTTTCTAGGAGAAGGTGTGAAGCTGTGGTCATGTGATGAGTCGGTGAAGATGGTGCCAGGAGTGTTGGTGACGGATAGCAAGAATCTGTACGACCGCCTGAACCGAACCGTGTTGACTTTCAAAGGGGCGGAGAAGAGAGCAAGCATCGAATCTCTTTGTCTGAAAGAAAGTATGACTACCACGGGGTTAATGATTAGGTGGGTCAATGGCGATAGTCAGCTTGCTAATTCCCTGACGAAGGAAACCGAGTTACAATGCACCAGCTGTTCGAGTATCATAGAAGAAAGGGCCAATGGAGGATTGTGTATGATCCTGAGCTCCTGTCGGGTCGTAAGAGAAAACAATTAGGGATCAATCGGTTGGACAATGTGGCAGAGTGACTCTCGTTTTTGAGTTGGCAACAACAGCTTAAAGCTGTTGGGGCCCGTGCAAGCTTCGACGAAGCTTGTGCGCAAGCAAACGCATTTCATGGTCGCAGCGCCATTCGCTCAAGTGAAAAGAGCTGCGCGGTGCTTGAACCATCCCCGCTTTCGGCCGCTTTCAAGGGTTTAGGGCTGGGCGATAGGGGTTGCCTAGACCATTTTGGGTCGATATATTGCCTCACTTGTTTGATGGAGACCGGGAGCCGGGGGGGGGGGGCAGGTGAGATGGGTTTAGGGCTTCGTGCCGGTTTACGGTTCAGATTCTGAGTTGTTTGTAGGTCACCGAGTTTTCCAAGTGTTGATTTAAAAATTCAATCATCAGGATGTTGAGCTTAAGCTTCAGTTGTCAGGGGTTGGGGTTGGTTGGGATTCGCGGTGTGGGTTTGCAGGGGTTTCCGAAATCCCAAGCACTCAACTGCCGCGAACCCAAGACTAGGCCACGCATTGGGGCTTACCGGGCTTTAACCTCCAATTGGGCTCAGGACCAGTTTAGGTTGAATGGCGTGGCTTGTATTTGTTGACTTTGTGGTGCGGGTCCCACATTGGAAACTAGGGTAACCGTAAAACATACAACAACGACACTTGAGGAACCAGGTCAACTCCAGACGTTCCGAAGATAAAGTTGTTGATGTTGGGATCTCTAAACCCCGACAGCCCAGCAGGTGTCAGGCCGCTCGCCCGGAACATTCTCGGTGCCTCTTCCCTGCAGGTTGCAGCAACTTTAGGGGCGACCGCAGCCCTGGAGGAGGGTCGGCCAGGTTCGCTGGATCTTTCTCGGGCACTCGTCGCTGCCGCATCCTTCCGGGGTGGCTCGGCAGGGCTGGTGCAGCGGTTGATCACTCTCCGTGCTGACATGGACTTCCAGATGAAGGGGGCACGTGAATACAGTACGCTGGGGCGGCTGTTTCTTGCAGGGAAGTCCCTGCAGCACCAGCTAGGCAAGGCGACTCTTCTGACGACTACCGCATATCACTTGGACGGCAGCACAGCGCTAATGCTGGCCATCAGGTCGGGTCAATTCGAGGCGGCCGCGGCCTTGATCGTGGCCGGAGCCAGGCTGGACCTGTGCAACTGTCGCAATTGGACCGTGTTGGACTTTGCCCGTGGCCAGTCGCTCCCACGCTTTCTGCAGTTGGGCTTGGAGGGAGACATATCGGAGTGCCGCAGAGTGTCCTCGCTTGCACTCCTCGACGGCTACGTCGAGATTTCTTTTTGAATTTGGCTGCAGGTGATCCTGGCCATAAGGTACTATGCGGTACCCTTTCACTCCCGTCCGTGCAATCTGTCCGGATGTGGAGCGAGCCTCAGCCATGTGTCACGAGAATGCTGGCAGTGGAACGCATCACCTGTTGGACGATCATGGTGACGACAATGATGATGTCGTCGTACTAGTCGTAGTTGTAATCATAGTCGTAGTCGTAGTAGCAGTCGTAGCAGTAGTAGTCGCAGAAGTAGTAGTAGTAGTAGTAGTAGTAGTAGTAGTAGTAGTAGTCGTAGTAGTAGGAGTAGCAGTAGCAGTAGCAGTAGTAGTAGTAGTAGTAGTAGTTGTTGTTGTAGTAGTAGTAGTAGCAGCAGCA